AGCCCCGCCCCCGAGGTCCCCTCGCGAGGCAACCCGCTTGCGTGCGTTGACGCCACAAAGCCCCTCTGCTTCAGCCCCTGGCCTCTCCCAGTACTATAGGCAAACCCAGCCTTTTCCCCACACGGCGTACCTGGCCCACGCACCTGGCGCAGTGAACGACTCCTTCCCTGTGAGTATTAGCTGCCCAGAGAACTCCGCTGCACCCCGTGGGCCGAGACTCTAGGGGCTCCTCCTAGAGTCTCATCCAGACAGCCTGTCCTCAACAAGTGTGCTTCAAACCTTGGGCTTCAACCGTGGACCACTCTAACTACTTAGGTCTCCTGGATGAGCCTTCATTGACAGGACTTTAGGTGACCAAGAGCCTCGAGCCCTGGCTCTCTACTCCAGCGGAGCCAGGTCCCCTAGCCACCTTGGCCCCTCTTCTGACCAGGTGGTCAGCGGTGCGCCCCTCAGGGCTCTTGAGGTTCGGGAGGAGCTAATGCCCTGTGCTCTGCTCACAGAAAGTTCAGATGAAATTAACGTGGCAACCACTCCGGAATATCCGAAAATGCCTTGACTTTAAGGATTGAGAAGAGGGGACAGGAGAGAAGCAGAGTCAACCTCATTTCCAAACTCTCAACAAGGACCTTGGGAAGCAGAGTGGGTGCAGTTCAGGGTCTCCACTGCCTGGGGTAGGAGGACTCCAGGGGTGCCAGTGCATTGTACATGTGTTTATGAGTGTGTGTGGGTGTGCATGCATGTGTACATGTGTGCCTGTGCATATGTGTGTTGTATGTGCTTGCAGAGTGCATCCATGTTCACATGCCTGTGTTTGTCACCATGAGCTTGCACATGTTTTCTGTATGGGTGTGTAACATGAGTGTAGCTACAAACATGTTTACCTGTGTGCAAGCTTGTATGTACACATGTCTACACGTCTACGCAAAGCCCCTGTATTTGTGTGTGCATGTGTTCGTGTGTGCTGCATGGAGCCCCTATATATCTGTGTTTGGCATTGTGTCTTTTCTGCACTGAACTTTAACTGAAAGGGCTTCCATTCCTTTCCAAATTTCTTTGTTTTGCCAGGACATTATTCTGAAGCTTGACTCTATTGCAGCCTTTTAGGGTGGCTGTTTGATCCTAGGCAGAGGTAGGGCTTGACTGCAAATGTACAATGGCTGGGGAATCCCAGAAGGCATAGGAAGGAGTTTGAAGCTCAGCTGACCTAGGGGCCAAGCCCAGGCTTAGCAGGTGTCTGGCTAACATTTCTTCAGTGTCTTTGTATGCCACATGGGGACACCAGCTTTGGCCTCCTCCATACAGAGAAAGTATGCACCGTGCAAGGGACCCAGGAGAGTTGGCTACGGCACCAGTTCTATGATTCTACCTGCCAAGGGGTTACAGGGGAAACCTCGTCTTGTTTCTCCCCAGGAGCCATGGATGCTGTGGAACTTGCCAGAAGGTTGCAAGAGGAGGCCACATGTTCCATCTGCCTGGACTACTTCTCTGATCCTGTGATGACTGCCTGTGGCCACAACTTCTGCAGAGAATGCATCCAGATGAGCTGGGAGAAAGGGAAGGGCAAGAAAGGGAAGAGGAAGCAGAAGGGCTCATTCCCCTGCCCTGAGTGCAGGGAGATGTCCCCTCAGAGGAACCTGAGGCCCAACCGCCTACTAACAAAGGTGGCCGAGATGGCCCGCCAGCACCCAGGGCTGCAGAAGCGAGACCTGTGCCAGGCACACCAAGAGCCCCTTAAGCTATTCTGCCAGGATGACCAGATCCCCATTTGTGTGGTCTGCAGGGAGTCCCAGGAGCACCGGCTGCATAGGGTGTTGCCTGTGGATGAGGCTGCAAAGGAGAATGAGGTGAAAAGCAAGCTCAGGGGCTTCCATGTCCAGGAGGAGCCATGGTCAGTCAACACTGGGGAAGTATGACCAGGGGCTAGTGTTCCCTGGTTGGGGGTGGGGAAAATTCTGTCAAGTTGGCCTCTACTCAAGGTGTGAGAAATGTAGAACTTCATTTCATAATAAGAGCACTGCTACTAACTAGAGAGAGAAGGGTGGGGGCAGACAGGCACAATAGGAATGTATGTAGGTTGCAGGCCAAGCAACATGGAGGAAAGTCCTTTCCCCCCCCCCGGGACAAAACAGGTGTGTGACTGATGTGCCTGTTCCCAAGGATAGCCTATAGTATCCATGTTTATTGATGAGAGATTTAATTAAGTGTATAGCAAGCAAAAATAAAAACAATGAGTAGCAGACAGAAGTTGTAGAGAAATGCAAAACTTCATCAAAGGAGTTTACAACGCCCAGCAGAGACAATCGAGGGAGGAGCCTGATCCAGAGAGCAAAAGGCAACATTGTCAGGTCCGGGACTTAGAAACATCTGCAGCATCGACTGGGGAAGTCGAGGCAGCAGTCAGCTGGAGTGTGTTTTGTTTCGTTTCAGCTGAGCTTTCCCTCCACGGTTTCTCATTTCCACTGGATGCATTTTTATATCACAGGATAAACTGCAGTAACCTCTGCTGAAAGGGGCTTGTCTTCTAGTTGTTCTCAAGGGCACAATCTTATTCTTGGGCTATTTGTTTGTTTCCCTACTTGTCACTGACTTAGGGGGCCAGCCAATCCCAGGACACGGAGCTTTCAAGGACATTTTGAGACAAACATGGCTGAGTGTAAAATAGATGCAGGGCAGCCCTGCTTGCTTCCAAAGCCTGCTGCTCAGTGAGTTCAAACATCATAGATAATTTACCTATATAGTGTCTATTGCAGTGTTCCAACCTTCAAAACCCAGGTCGCTAAAGTCTCCTTTCCTGAACCTCATGGGCTCTAACTCTGGGCCCATGGCCTCAGATGGCCACTGGAGTGGGAAACTGGAACCTTCTGTCATCCATTTTTACTTCCTGACTGAAGGTCATTTGCTCATGTGTGTTGTGTTCTGAACGCCTCACTCCAAAGTCATGGGTTTTTTTGTTTTTGTTTTTTTTTGTTTGTTTGTTTGTTTTTGTCGGGGATGGGGACTGCCTGGTTCCTTGAGATCCTATAAGAGGGTCTCTGGGGTCAGGGCAGCCTGAGAGACCACAGTCCAGGCATTGGCAGAGATGGGATCGCTGACCTGAGGATTGTGTTTGTGTATCCAGAGAAGGTTGGAGGAAGACATAAAGTATCTTCGGGAGGAGATGATAAAGACAGAGACATTGCAAGCCAAGGAGGAGCAGACCTTAACTGAGTGGCAGGTGGGTGCCCAGTGGCTGCCATTCCAACCTGTGTGTCCATATCCATCCTTTCAGGGTGGGAAGCTTCAGGGAGGAAAAGGTTCCTAGACTCTGCAGGTTTGGTGGCTGACCTGAGAATTAAGCCCACACAAGACAGGTAAGGGGATTTTAATGATGATGATGAGGACCTCACCAAAAATGAGTCTCAGGTGATGGAGTCTTCCAGAACACATGAAGTTTGCCAAAGGACAAGAAAATTATAACACATGTAATTTTTTTTGTTTGTTTGTAGACAAGGCCTCCATAAATTACTCAAGTTATCCCTTAACTCACAGGCTTAAGTGACCCTCCTGCCTCAGCCTCCCAAATAGCTGTAACTATAGGCATGCACTTCTGCACCTGGGTAATTCAGATACATTTTTTTAAAATTCATTTTGCCTGCGTGTGTCTATGAAAAATGTACATGCAGTGCCAGACAAGGCCAGAAGAGGGCATCGGACACCCCTGGAATTGGACTTAAAGGTGGATGAGTCACTAATGAGTGCTGGGAACCAAACCCTGGTCCTACAGAAGAGGACCTTAACTGAAAGTTCCCTTAACTATTAAGTCATCCCTCCAGCCCCCTTTTAAATGATTTTTTTCTTAGTTCAGTTCTTAAATAGCTTTCTTTATTCCAGAATCAAGCAATGCTCCCATAAAAATAAATGTGGGCTGCATCTTTGATCTTAAAAATTGAGGAGGGCTGCAGATTTACCATTCCATTTCAAAGTTATCTTCCATGTAAGGTGGGATCAGGAAGATAATAGGACAATGACTAGTTGGCTAACAGTCAGTCATCTTGTGGTACTGTTGGGCAAGGATTGACTTCCTCCTGGAAATGACTTATTTGGGGGGTTGATATTGTTGGTTTAATGTGTGACTCCAGAACTCAAGGAAGCAAAAAGCAAGATCTGTTAGTTCAAGGTCAGCCTGGACTGCATAGCCAGTTCCAGGCCACACAGGGCTACTTGGGAAGAGTCTGTCTTGGAAGAAGAGGACAAGTACACACACACACACACACACACACACACACACACACACACACACACACACTCTGTTGAGAGAGGAAGGCAGGAAGGAAGGGGCCTGTTTGGGAAGTTTAGCTGTTGTCTGTGAAATTCTGATTTCTTAGGAATTTTCATCAACAACTTTAGGGACATGGGTAACTCCAATCTGACTTCTAGCCTGGTCATTTGGAGTCCCCTGCCCTTTTTATGAACCATGCCTGTGTCCTTCCTTTAGGTGGTATGTTCTGAACCCACCCACATCAAGACACACAGACATTTGAATGTGTGGATGCTAACACTCAAGGTCTGATCTGTTAGGGTACAACAGGGATGTTATAGGGGACCACTGTCAAAGGTCCTGGTTCCCAGCTTTGCCCAAGAATTCTAGGTCACCAAGTGTCCAGAATTGCTGTGTGGCAACCTTGAAGGAAAGTCATTCTTTCTGGGCACATCTCATAGCCAGGCTGGGGGCGGGGCATTCCCATAGGAGACAGTGAAGGAGCGGAGAGAGCGAATCTTGGAGGAGTTCCAGAAGGTGGTCCTGTTTCTGGTGGAAGAAGAACGCAGGATTCTCCAGGTCCTGAAGAAGGAGGAAGAGGAAACCTTGGCGAAGCTGCAGGACAACAAGGTCTCCCTGGATCGCCAAGGCCGCTCCCTGGACCTGCTCCTGCTGCAGCTGGAGGAGCGGGTCCAGCAGGAGCCGCTTCAGATGCTGCAGGTAAGGCCAGAGGATGCTGAGGATCCTTGGGACTTTTCTCTGTGTTGCCACAAACCTGTGGGTGCACCATGAGGTGGGGCATGGCCTGAGGATGTGCACTGCGCCCAGGAGTTTTCGGAACAAATGCATCCTGACAGACAGGGCTGGGCTGAGGGTCACCTACCCATCCCATCCCAGTGCTGAACAGCAAACATCTCAAGCTGCCCAACACACACACACACACACACACACACACACACACACACACAGAGGGAGAGACAATAAAATACATTTTAAAGAAGAGGCTTGTTTTAGCTCAGAGTTCTGGAAGTCCAAAAGCATTGGTACTGCCAAGGGCTCTCTTCTGGTGCAGGCCTCATAACAAAGGGCCAGCCAGTATCTGCCAGTGTGAATGAGGCAGGCTGACTCCTTCACAACCCCTTCTCATCTCCGTTCACCCTGGTGGACTTGAGACCTACTCACCTCTTAAGGGCCCACACTGTGACTGCTCAACACTGCAACACTAGCAATTAAATGCCAGCCTGATTTTGCTGGGAACATGCCACATCTAGACAAGGCAATGGGCCACTGGGAAGCACTATAAATACATGCAATTTCCAGTCCAGGATATTAATGGTGCTTGAAGAGTCTGTAGACTCTGGGTTTCTAGAAACTCTCCAGGGACCCTAGGTTCACCCTCAACCTCTCTCCCTCCTCAGACCATGCCCACTGTACCCCCTACCCTCACTTATTTGCCCCATTGTTCTATGCACCCTAACTGGGTCTGCAGCTGCTTGAGTCCAAAAGGAAACTCAGGACCCCGCCCTCCTTATCCACAGCTTAACTTCCTGAATGGCTTCATTTATGCTCAACCTGAAAACATTGAAGGGAAAACTCCAGAAGTAAACAATCCTTAAGTCTTAAAGGGCATGTGATTTTGGGGGATACTCAGATAAAACTCACCCAGGGTGTGAGCCACCCTTTTGTTCACTCTGTCCATGCTGTGTGTTATCACCAGCAACTGTCTTGGCTATGAAAACTACATGGGGGGGGGGGGAACCTGTGGGTGGGCACAAGTAGCCACTAATAATGGCTCCAAAGCACAGGAGCAAGGAAGCTGGCAATTTACATGTGCCACAGAGAAGTCTGAGCAGCCAGCCTCCTTTAAGGAAGCTCTGTGCAAGTCGTGTGCCAGAGTTGCTTAGGTGGATGAGGAGCACAAACTTAACGACAGTGCATTGTTAGGGATGGTTCCGTTCTATTGTTAGTATTTTCCTGTGCCAGATTCATAAACTTCATCACACACACACACACACACACAAGCATGGCGTATACAAGGACTACTGATCCATGGCTTACTTGCCTCAAGGGAGGGGTAAAGAGTTTGGGAGTGGTGTGGCTCTGTGGTAGAGTGCTTGCTTAGCAGGGGCCCCATGTTCTGCCTCCACTACTGTAAAGAAAAATGCTACAGGTTTCCCAGAACTTGCCACCTCCTCTCCCCTGACCTCAGGCTTGTGACCTTGGACTGAGGAGATGCTTAGGATCTGCCACGTGGAGGGGAAGGAAAGATCCAGCGAGTGTGGGAAGCTGTTAATCTGGGAAGGGACTGTCCAGCAGAGGACGTGGCTCAAAGTAGGGGGGCAACCGAGGTAACTTAGATACTGGCAAGAGGCACCAGCTCTTAACTGTCCTCTCTGTTGTTCGCAGGATTTGAAGGACACCTTGACCAGGTACTCTGTCACCCACAGCAGAGGTGGTGGTGGAGGTGGGTGAGGGAGGCCTACTTGGAGAGCCAGGGAGCAGATGAGTCTGTGTTCCCTGGAGGAAGGAGAGCCTCAACACACAGCACCCAGAGGTGAACCTCCCCGTGGCTCTCGACCGTGTGCAGAGTTCCAGGGCAGATAGATG